TACTTCTGCTGCTCACGAAGGTAACTTGACGGATTATATTGCTTCTGGTGGCTCGGGTGTTCTGATGGAGGATGGCACGATTGTGTTTTCTCTGATGGCGATGAATGAAACAAAAGAGGTTGACGTTTACTCCATGATTATTTACTCGAAGGACAACGGCAGTACCTGGGTGTTTCCAGAGGGCACTTCTCATCCGAAATGCGGTGCACCCCGCATCACCGAGTGGGAGGGATCACTTCTCATGATTGTTGATTGCGAGAACGACCAGAGGGTGTACGAGTCGCGGGACATGGGGACAACGTGGACGGAGGCCATCGGGACACTCTCAGGCGTGTGGGTCAACTCACAATTGGAAGACTATCCGGAAGGAGGCTTGCATGTGGATGCCCTCATCACCGCGACCATTGGGAAAAGGAAGGTCATGCTGTACACACAGAGAGGGTACGCCATGGAGGAGGAGAAAGGGGCCAATACGCTCTACCTTTGGGTCACGGACAACAGCCGCTCTTTTTTTGTTGGACCGGTTGGCAAGGACAATGCTGGGGAGAAGGAGGTCGCCAGCACCCTGCTTTACTCGGATGGCAAGTTGCATCTTTTACAACGGAGGGGCAGTGGTGAAGGCAGTGCCATTTCACTCTCCCGTCTGACGGAGGAACTGAAGAAAATCGAGTCCGTCCTCAGCACTTGGTCGCAAAAGGACGTTTTCTTCTCCAGCTTTTCTATACCCACGGCGGGTCTGGTGGCAGTTTTGTCAAACGCATCGGCCAGCGATGGCACGTGGAACGACGAGTACCTTTGCCTGAACGCGACGGTGAGGAACGCCACGAAGGTCAAGGATGGGTTTCAGTTGACGGAGCCTGACTCCGGGGTAATGTGGCCTGTGAACACTCGGGGTGAAAATGTGCGTCATGTATCCTTGAGCCACAACTTCACACTTGTGGCGTCGGTGACAATCGAAGAGGCTCCGAGTGAGAAAACTCTACTGGCTGCGGTGTTGGCGAAAACTGAGACCCCGTATTTCATGAGACTGTCGTACACCGCGGATAACAAGTGGGAGACGATGTTCGAAGGCGAGACAAAAAAAACAACGAAAAGCAGGTCTTGGGAGCCGAAGAAAGAACACCAAGTGGCACTCATGCTGCAAGGCAACAAGGCCTCTGTGTACATTGATGGTGAGTCGCTGGGGGAGGAAGAAACGCCGTTAAAAGGTGAGACACCACTTGAGCTTTTTGGGTTTTGCTTTGGCGCGTGCGACCTTGGTGATGATGATGATGATGGGGATGAGGAGGAGGATGCCAGTCAGGAGGCCAGTCCGAAGGAGGCCAGTCCGAAGAAGATCGGCAAAAAACCTCGTGTGACGGTGACGAACGTCTTTCTGTACAACCGCCCACTGAATCCCACTGAGATGCGTGCAATCAAGGACAGGATCCCCGTTTCGACGAGAGCTCCAGAACCACAAGTGAAAATTGCTCCCAAACCTGTCGCACCTGCTGCACCTGCGGTGCCTGGCCCACGGGAAGTACCAGCAGCACCGGGGAGGACAACTGTGGGGAGAACCGCCAATACCCAGCATGCGCCAGCGGAACGCTTGACTTCTGCTGGGAATGAGGGGACGGCACGAGAAAAGGGTGATGGTGGGGCAAATGGTGATGATGGTTCCGCGTACGGGAGGGAACTGCTGCCGCTGCTGCTTCTGCTGGGACTGTGGGGCTTTGCGACTGCGTGAGGAGTGTGCGGCCTCAGTGTGGGACACTTGCGCCCTCCCCCACACCGACGCACGTCCGGTAATGAATTACTCTCCGCAATTCTGTTTTTTTGTGTTTTTCTTTTTCTCTACCCCCTTTTTGCTTGTTGTCTTGGGGCAACCACTATGAACGTTTTTTTTCTCATTTTTAATGGTTTAATTTGTTTAAATTTCAAATTTTTATTTTTCATCCCCCATCCCCTCTATTTTTTGCTTTTGGGGCAATTACTAAGGAAGTGATTTTTTCTTTTTTACTTTTTTCAATTGTTTCTTGCTGCACTCTTCCTGCGAGGGGTGCCGTGTGTTTCCCGCCCAACTGCTCCACTCGCACACCCACCGACACGCTCATGACGACGGCCCTGTGCGCCTCGCCTGCTGCACGCATGAGGAGGGGCCGCGACGAACGGCGCGCTGAGGGAGCCGTGACGTGTGGGCGTGCGACGAGGGTCTGTGGGGCGGAGCACACATTTCTTTCCCTCTTGTTTTGTTTTCTTTGCGGCCAGGGCGGGCAGACACCCGCAGCGCCACACACACAGCCACACCCTGCCGCTTTAAAAAAGGAATTTTGCTTGCTCTCTTTGACTTTCTCACTGCGTGTGTTTTTTTTTTTTTTTTTTTTGCGCTGGCAGTCCCTTCGGTGTCGGCCTCGTGAGCATTTCTCTCAGTCCCCCCTGATGATTTTTTTTTTTTTTTTTTGCTGCGCTCACTCTCCCGATGGAGTGACGCGACTCCCGTCATGTCTGCGTGCTTCTTTCAGCCCCCACACACACACGAGTGACTGAGCTCTGCGGGCCGCACTCACGCGCCGATGAAAGGGCTGAGGGGAGCAGCAACACGCAGATGACCCCATGAAATATAAACGGTGTGCGGACACACATGGAGGGTCGGACGGCTGAAAGACATTTAAATATTTAATTTTTAATTTGCGGGCAAAATATATAAACAGTTTGGTGGGCGCACACAGTAACCAGGTGAAATTGTTTTTTTTTTTTTTGTGTGTGTGGGTCTTCATTTTCTTTTCTTTTTTAATTATTTGTGTGTAGCCGTAATAGAGGAGGACTTTTTTTTTCTTTTTTTTTTTTTTATCAAATTTTTTTTTTTCCAATGTGTGAGGTGTGGAAGGTGAAGATGAATTTTTTTTTGATTTTAATAACTTTTTTATGAATTGCCGCCGCTTGGTTTGCGGTGCAATATCATGAGCTTGAGCAGCATTTTTCTCTTTATTTCTGCCATGCACCTCTGCTGTACTGTTTTTGTGCGTCCCTTCACATGCTCTGCTCCTGCTTTTGCTTCTTTGCCTCGTGTGTCTGCAGGCACACACAACCACATGCACGCACAAGATGCACATTGCAGTGGATTTTGATGCTTCTTTTGTAGCGTGTGCTGCCGGTTGCGGGTGGCTGCTGCTTCCTCCGTGGGCATGAAGGGAAGGAGGAGAGAGGGAGCGCGCACCCCGAGTCACTCTTCCAGCGGGTGTGATGCACCGCGGTGGGCTGCGACTGCTGTGGAGGGCCGCATCCTTTCGGTGTGCGCTTCTCCGCCGTTGTTTCGTGCGTTTGCGCATGCCATTTATTGTGCGTGCTGGGCATGTTTTTCCGGAGCGTTGAGCAGCCACCACCATTCTTTGGCGGCTTGTGTGAGCGGGCACGTGCGGATGAGGGTCAGGGCGTATGGAATGAGGGAATGGCTTGAGGAAAGGGGAATTTGATTTGGAGGATATTTGGACCGGATTATTTGGCTGCGGTGGACACATGCACGACGGATGTGTTTCCGCATAATTGGGGGAGGATGCGACAGGATTTTCCGAAGTGGCCCGTCAATGCAATTCGGGTTTCATAGCACTGGGGCACAGTGGTCTTCCTGCAATGGCTGGTGACGGCCTCTAGTGGACCGGTGTATTTATGCTGCTGCTGCTGCTGCTGCTGCTCGAGGAGGCGTAGAAGTGCGATTCGAGGTGAGCGGCGGAAGGGCCACACATCCCGCAGTGACGGTCGTCGTTGGCCCACCGGGTGCCTCTGAAGGTTTTGTTGGATGCAACGTCCTTATGCCCGTCTCCGGATGGCGACTCCCTGATGCAGCCAACGAACGGGGCTGGTAGCGACGGTGAGAGCATGGCACGGTGAGGACCGGACCTAGAAAAGGGACACCGCGTGGGACGTCAGTCTTCACTGCAGCGACCGCCACCGAATTCGGATTTGCTCGCACCTCCTGCGGTCCCTGTTCCTTCCCTCACTTCTGTGCCGAGGACTGTGCCGCGGGATCCAGCAGCGCGATGTTTGGCCGCAGGAGCATGGCCCGAACAAATGATTTGTGGGAGGGGGATGTGCACTGCGACGAGAAGAAAAAAAATGTTGCGAGACGACCACCACAAGACCGGAGTGAAGTTGTGTTTTTTTTTAATTGCGCGAGGGCGGCCTGCCACCTGGTCGGTTGGGAGGATTATTTTTCTTGCGTCTTTGCGCCTTTCTTTTTATTACGCTGCGTTTTTTTTGCGGACCTGCGAAGGGGGATTTGCAGGAAATTTCTGCGAGGCGTCCGTGCCGTCGTCGGAAAAGCGGATTCCCCCTTGAAAAACGCCACTTTTTAAATTTGTTTTGGGCGGGGAGTTCTTGTCGATTCAACGCGACTTTGCTTTGCGGATTTGATGCGTGTGTTTCCGAGCGGTTCGATCTGTGCTCCCAGCCCACTCGGATGTGGTGTGCGCTTCGACGTGAAGGTGCCTGCCAGCCGTTTTATTGCCTCCCCCGCTGTGGCTGCCGCCGCTGCCTTCCTCCCTTCCTGAGGTCCTGCGGCTTCTTGACAAGATGTTTTGGAGAAGGCGTTGCCGCTCTTATCGTCCATTGTATTTTGATTCTGGTGTCGCGGTCAGGAGACATTGAACGAGAGGGTTTGCTGCCCTTTTGTTTTATTTGTCCTCTCTGCCTGACGGCCAGTTCTACACAAGCGTGCTCCTCGGCACCTCAGTTGGTGCTGGCGGGTTTTGCTCACAGTTGTCACTGGCAGTCACATGCGCCAACTCTTCTCTGCTCCTTTTCAGTGTCGCATTTTTCTATTGATTGACGGACGCCATTCTGTCCGGCGTGCCACTTTGATTGGATTTTGTGGGACTGCTCGCCAACGCCATCGGAGAAAGCAGGCCGACTTTTCACGTATTTAATTCCGTCTTGCGCGCAGGTATTTTTTACACACGTTCTGTTGGGCACTCAAACAGCGAGGTGTCCGGAGCTATGCGTGCGTGGAATTTGTCCTGCCATGTGAACTGCGGGCAACACCGAGGGGCTGTCACTTTGACTCCGCAGAGTTGTTGTGTCTCTTCGCAGGGTTGGCAGGGAAATTCCATGCAGCCTGCTACTTCTGGTTTTGTCCTTAACTGTTGTCACTCCATACGAAGTAATGTGCTTCAGCGAGTGAGGGGATGATTGGGTTTGTGTGCACTCTGATTCTGTTTGCTACCATGTGTGGGCAAACAAAACCTGAGGGGCGGTAAAATGGAGCGGGGCGATGCATGGCTGCGTCTCGCCCATTGTTCACTGCACGATGGTGCGGTGCACATTGTGGTGTTGACTCTGCGATGTGACTGCGGTCCCCTGCGCGGCAATGGCTGTGCGTGGAGGAGAGTGTTGGCCCGCTGCGTGACGATGGGATCGTGCCTCCTTTTCTCTTTGTTTCTTCCCTTTTGTGAAGGCGTGCATTTATTTTTGTTGTCGGTGATGGGGCAAACGGACAGGCAACGTGAATCATAAAATATACAGGGCGATAATGTGGCGGTGTTGGTGTTGATTGCACGTTGTGTTGCTGCGGGGGCGGTGGGCCTCGACTGCTTCACCGACAGGCGTTGCAGTGCGGCTGCATGGCGCACCGACCGCCCCGCCGTGCGGGTGCCGCGCCCAATGCCATTGGGAATGCGGGACGAAACAGCCGCGAGTGTCCTTTGGAGCCAGCGGCACCTGCAGGCCGCAGTTGGGCGGTGCGAGTGGGATGCTTCACTGCACGGGTGTTGTGATGGCGCCTTGCAGCGGCTCTTGTGATGGTTCCGACGCTGCAGCTCGACACGTGGCGGGGAGTGAAGTGTGGCCGCAGTGGACCATGAGCAGCACCAACGTGAGGCTGAGTGATTTCCTTTGGAATTGTGTTGGCGGCAGGGCGGCCGTTGATGAAAGAATACAATGTGACGATGGAGATGTTTGTTCAGGAGCCGGATGATTACGTACAAGACCAGCGGCTTCCTGAAGAAATTCTCAACTTAACTGCGTACCAAGCGCTGGAGGCCATTACTAAGCCACTTCACGAAGGTGTGTTCTCTCTTGGGCAACGTAGGGACTGTGAAAGAAAAGGATACAATCACTCCTCTTGCAAGGGGAAAACCAAACGGAGTACTCACGCAGGTACTGAGAGAAGCGAGGCGGGAGGCAGAGGAAAGGCTAAGACGAACGCAAGAAATGGAATTTACCATTTCCACTAATATCGAAGAAGTACTGTTTAAAGGAAGGGTTTGCGTCAATGAAATGAAGCTGAACGACTTTCTTACGAGGGAACTGGACGGCAGGGGCATTGTGGACACCAATCGGGATGTCTTGCTGGAGGAGTTTTTCAAGGACCCCACGAAGTATATCCGTGATAAAGGAGCATTGAACGAAATACAGGCATCAGGTCATTATTTGAGTATGAAGCGAGCTGTAAAGGGTGAAGTGATCTTCGATGAGGGTATACGCAAGCTTTGCGATAAGGGTGTCAACAATCCACCGGGGTGGTCATTAGCTGCTGCGGAGGTAAAAGCAACTGTTCATAACTCCACTAAACATTTCTTGGAAGCAGCTGCCGAGGAGGCGAGGAACCCAACGACGACGAGCGCACCGGAGAAACTGGATGGATGCTACGAGTCTGTGCACAATGCGAGGCGGAGCCATGCGGTGGAACTTCCGGACGGCGTGGAGCGAAAGAAAACGGGGACGGGAATGGGGGTGCATGAGGGGAAGCCAGAA